TGGTTGCCTGAAGGCTTGGTTGTGATGGCAAAAAAATTCTGAAATGCAGTTGTTGCCTAATCACCCATATCTTTCATTTCACTAGTCTTGAAGAGGTTCAAAGAACTGAATTACTGATTTGGGGGGGTCATCTTGAACTGAGGTTGATGGTAGCTTAAATCTCTTACCAGTACATTCTTCTCACTGTACCACCTTCTCCCCTCTCCTTTCTCAGACAAGGTGTGGGGCTAAAGTCACCAACTTTTTCAAATGGCCTGCACCTATGTTTTTTAAGTGAAGCTTTCCCCGATACTGGGAGAAAATGACAGTAGAAGCTTCATCTGTTTAAGATTCATATATATGGCTATACAGCAGCAAGGGCCGGTAAAAAAAAAAAGTGCTTTCCACACTGCACTCATATAATACAATATGACCCGGTGAGACCCAAGGTTAATATTGGGATCTGTTTTCAGTGCCAGGGCTCGTATCTAAATCATGCAAAGACAGAGGAAGAGAGTTCTGAGTAGGGATCGATGTTTGAATATTTCCAGCCCAAATATATATTAGAGAAATATCTTACCAGTATTTTCCAGATATCTTTGGGTGTCTGTATGGTATCCGGGATTTCCTGGGCTACCAGTAAATGGGCCCCAAAAATTTCAGAAATATTCAGCAGTAACTTTGAATATTGAGAGCCATGCCTCTGTTAGCCGCCCTGAGCCCACCGGGGAGGGCGGGATACAAATGTTAATTTATTAATGTTAATTAAGGCTCCCAGGAATTTTCGTTCATTTTGCTGTCTCTGTCTTCTTGCCAGAGCTTGATGTTGACCTACCAGGTTGGTTTGGCTTAGATTCTGTGCTTTGAAATTAGCTCTCTTGGGTCTTACGAGTTGCAACATTGTGTTCTTTGCTCAAGTTGGTTTGATTGGATTCTTCGGTTCAACATTGGCTCAGATTCTCTGGTTTGATATTCATTGTGTTAGGTTTGCCCCATTATCCTGTGCTTCTGCTGGGATTCCCTGGTTCTCTATCGGTTCTTTGAGCTTGTTGGATCTGAGTGCATTGGGAGGCTTTTGGTCACTGTGGCTTTGGTTGCTTTTGTGTGTTCGGTTATTGTTTGCCCTGGAGAAAGTTTGGAATTTCCCCCCCCCCATAGGAAACAATGGAGGGTGGCTGGGAGCACCTTATTCAGGGGCCCATAGAATCAGATTTCTTGGTCCAATTCACTTAAAACTTGGAGGTTATTTAGGGGGACAGGCACCCACAGCTCAGCTGCAATTTAAGTGTCATTTGATCAAAAAACAGCCCCTCCAGCCTCAAAAAAGATACCTCATAGGGAATGATGGAGCCAAAAAGTATCAGATTCCTTTTAAAAAGCCCGGATCTGAACACCAAACTGGTATCTGGAACCTCAATAACCAGGAATACTGATATCTTTCAGCTCCCTGATATCCAGATCAAAAAAATGCCAATTTTCTCCATGGTGCTCATTCCTAGCTCTCAGCCTGGCAAGCTGCAAAATCTGCCAGCCTCTAAAAGAAGTCTAAAAGAAGTGGTTCAAGAGGATACAATTGCTGAATCTGGGTACTTTCGTAGCAGTGGGGTAGATCCCACCCCTAAGTTACCATTCCCCTGAGCAAAGTTTGAAGACTTCCTCTAACTTAAGCTGTTCCATTGGAGCAAAAACCACTTAAGTTGGAGGAAGGCTCCTTGAAGGATAGTTGGATCAACCTCAGCACACCTGGCTCTTCCACTGGCTCCCTGTAATGCAGATCACTTCTTGGCAGGCCACTTGCCCACCTGACACAAACCAAGTCGCTTCCCACATGACAGAGAAGTGCAGAGCGAACAGTCACTGCACCAGCAAATGTACTGAACTGCCCAGATAGGTTTGGGAAGAGTTAGGAAGCATGATGCACCTGCTGCTTCACAGCTACATCTAACGGAAAATAGCAAATAAGTTATCCTTTCCCCTGGCTTCCCAGCCCCTTTCTCCAAATCACTACAAGTAAGTTACAGACTTGACACAGGAAGGAAGGGAGAACACAGGTACAGAATCCTGCTCCCTACTTGGAAGTCTGGACAGACTCTGGCCTCCTTCAGAGATGAGAGGGCCGTCTCAGGAAAAAATCAGCCAGGATGAGATGTACTGTAAGTTATTTATTGTCCAGGAAACAGAGACGGGTTTACAGACAATTATAGTGACAGTAGACTACACAGGTGTTGAGTACTCCAGTATAAAATTTTACTCCATCTGCCTTTCAGCATCCTGTGCAATTTCCTTATAAGCTGAGCTGAAGGCAAAGATCATGAGAATGCATTTAAACATACTCACTTTTGTTTTTCAAAAAAGTTTTTAAAGAACCATGAAGCCACAGTGCCCTCTTATGGAAGCAGGTAACACTTACAAGGCACACGATGTCCTGTATTCTATCAAGTTTGCCTTGGAAACAAGCATTAAGGGAATGTACATCATTTGGTACCATGTGGCTGAGTATGCGCTGCTTTCACTAAACGCATTTTCTTTTGTGCAAACTTTCTTGCTGTTTGGTTCTATACTCCCCAGTATTTTACAGCTTTTTCAGTTTTATCATAGTGTCATAGTTTTTAGACCTCAACAGTCTTCCGCCACTTTAATTAAATGCATGAAATTACATTAATTGTTTCTGAGATTCTGCTTGGACTTTCTATTGGCACTGGCTTTTGACAACTCCAGGAGTGAATGTTCAAAATCCATGTTCTCAGGTATCTTTTCAGTACAACTGGAGAACTTGACACTGCCAGCTTTAATTTCTTTAGATGCATGTGCTTTTTTGCAATGTGTCTTGGCCATACTTCTTGTATCCCACAAACACTTATCCCACCTCAGGACAAGACTAATTCTGAGCAAGGGCCAGATGCAATTTGGCAATCTGTTCAAAACATTGCCACACCAGGATCATTTACTCTCTCTAAAAGAGAAACAAGATTTGGCTTTTTATATCAAAAGTTTCATAATCCTGAACTCATGTCACATTTCAGCTCGAACTCTTATGTATGCATTTTATGCTTTTACTTTCCACAACTCTTAGATAACTCCTTTTTAAAAATAATTATTTCTCAGCCTATGGCTTCAAGAAGCTGCATCTAAAACTGTTTTGTTTTTATAAAGGGAGCTCCATAAGCAGATAGACTGTCAAGAGGTCTTCCGATGGAAATGACAACCTAGGATTGTCTGTAGGTTCAAGTAAAACCAATCCAGTAGAGCCATACTACAAAACTGGTAACGGTACAAAAACACAGCCAAACTGCCAGGTTTCCGGAGTCACTCGGATACAAACAAAAAGGGTTAGTGACTATGAAGCAGGCTTTGAGGTTTGATGGTAACAGCACTCTTCATGAGGACCTTCGAATGACTCTGCAAAGAGCAAAACTGAATGAAGTCAAGCTTACCCATTAACATACAATTGTACAGGAATTCTGTACCATTCTGTAATCAAATCTGTCCCCCTTGCAATGAAAGCTAGTCACATCTCTTATTTTCTGTGTCAGGGCACAAACAAGAAAACTCACCAAAACAGTAAGAAATAGTATTTTAATACAAATTATACATAAAATCTACAAATTTTTAAATGCTAACATTTCTCAGAACATCTGATACTTTTATAAAATTTTCAGCTCCCTCACCATATTAAATATATTTTGTAACAATGTCATGTAAAGCTGAAAAAACAAACACACATTGCACATTATAGTGATAAATTAAGAACGGGTTATATGGATTGGCAAGTTATCCAAGCAAATATTTTAGACTTGGTCATAACACTAAGTTTTGCAATAGAAAAAATATTGGTCACTTTTCATGAGATAGAATGACATTTTACAGGACAGCATTGGTACACTTCCAATGTCCTTTATAAGTGGGAGAGAAATTGGGAATCTCAGAAGTCCTGCAGTTTAAAATTAAATCAAATCTAGTTACCTCAGCACCCTTATTTAGTAACACATCTTGGGTGCTATTTATGCTAATGCATATAACTGAATGATTCTAGCACACATTAGTATTCATATTCTCAGGTACCAGCTTCCACAGAAGGGGGAAGAAGACTATCACCTTCAGTTAATCACTCCTAACAAAACAAAGTTGAAATGGCTGGCTGGACAACACAGAAAGGAGTATCTATATATCTAATAGCCAACTTGCCCCCTCCGTGCGGATACTTAAATCAGCACGGAGGGGGCAGCTGGGGGGCCGGGGGAGGTTTGTGCACACGTGGGCCAGTCCCCACGTGTGCACAAAAATAAAAAAAGTTTAAAAAAATTTCGGGGGGATGTTTAAATCCCCCCGAAAGTGCAAGAGCGTCTCCTGCGCATGCGCAGGAGACGCTCTGCACCGCCGGCGCCGCTGCCGCCGCCTC